CCGATTCGCTGCATGTATCTGCTCATGCAGTGTTTGTATTGGAACCGGTAGGAAATTTTATTCGCCTATACTTCGCATCGGGGTGTTCTGTGAAAGGCTATAGTCGCCGTATGAAAATATTACAACTTTGTTGCGATTGTTGTAAAATCTTAGACTAACGCTCTCAGAAGGCCCTACAGTTACAACCTACAGCTCCTTGGTACTGTTTTCGAACTGGGAAGTTCGGAAAAAGTTTATGATCTAGAGAAAGGTTCAAAAAATAGTTTATACCGAACAGTATTTTCAGATCAAGGGAAAAACAAAGGCGGTACTTCCTGAGAGAGGCAATTACTGTGAAAATATAGTTGAAGACAGAGAGGGGAGGAGCTTACCACACTTCTTCAACAGAGCGCAGATAGGGAGGGGTTATCGTCTTTGTGTGCCTGTAATGGAGCTTCGAAACGTTTTTTAGCCATGGGAGTTTTTTTTCGAACTCAGCCTTTAGAGGAGAGGAGCATCGGAGTTGATGAGATCATTATCTCAAGCAAAAAGCAGTTATGAGGGAAGAATTAAACTTTCAGCTCGCCAATGATTAATTTCTATTCAAAAATATAAGCGTTAGCGTGCTAGCATACTGTTCCTGCTTACAATTAGACAACATCATTACGCGGCTGCGAAGACGGCTACCTCTCTTAGGAGTCAAGGTGAAAAAGAGTGTAGACCCCCATATCCCAACTAAAATTCACTGTAATTTGTGAGCGACAAATGTCAATTTATTCTGGTTGTCACTGGAAGTCAAAATACCATGGCTCTTAGGGTTAGAAAATGTTTATGAAAATCGCACTTGAGCGCTTCTTTTCCGCCCACCCACTCCAATGACAGATTTGATACTAGAGTATGCTTCCTCATTTGTTGAAAAAGGCAAAATCACACAAAACAGCTAGTAGGTCAGAAATTAGCATTACATCGGCACAAGAACTACGAGAAAGGCGATAGCAAATCGGAATAGGAGGATTGGTCAAAGGGATAGAACATTTGTCAGTCTGTTGACTCCCTCGCCCCTGAATTCTGGCGAACGTCCGTTGCGCGTGTCCGTCGAAAGTAGGTCATCCCGCCCACTTCGCGCGCGGCGCACTCTACTGAGGTCTCGGGAAGACATTACAGTACCACCAAGTGTGAATGGAGCATACGATTTGCATTCGTCTATGTTATCTTCTCTTTGGCTGACCACCGTGGAGAAAGCGCAAATCGTATGCCCCGCTTTTAGCTGCGACGNCTGTCAAGTATCGCGGGCTGACGCGCCGCATGCGGTGGCTGCGGCGTGACCTAGTTTCGACGGACACGCGCAACGAAGCGCACCCCTGAATTCTAGTAGAATCAACTCTTTGTCAGCAATCTGAAAAGCGGTTGAGATGGCGTTGTTTGGCGAAATAATACGCATCTTGCCTTTTCTGGCGACTCGCCCCACGCGGTCCCGAAGTGACTCATGTAGTTAAGGCTTGTCACTGGTCATCTTTATGTATTTATTCGGCAGAGCTCCCCTTTGTAACGAAAAACGTCGAAGGAAAAGGAAAGGTACTGAGTAGAGAACGGAGGTGGAGAAATCAAAGAGTTAGAGAGGGCAGACAACACTGCAAACGCAATGGTGCCGTTTTCGGTGTTGTGTATTTGTCTCTTCTACATGAGAACTATTTCCATTCTGGAAACGCCCAACATTGAATTTCAGCAAAGTATAGCCGCTGCAGAGGACGTCGAAAGTAGAGGCTTCAACTTGATTATAAAGGTGTTTTAGCAGTAACTCTTTTGGAGATCGAACCTTCAACTTCGAGAGGACGTGGGA